GCCTGACTGGTCCCCGGTGGGGTGTGTTCAAGGACAAGGTAGGAGGGATGAGCCGGTCTGGGAGGCAGGCAGGGATGTGATGGGCGGTGTCACGGAAAAGTGATGACTTCACTAGCTTTGTCTAGGGAGCAAAGCCAAGGGGGACGGACCGGGGCAGGATGGAAGAACAGGGCCTCTCCCGCAGCAGGGGGACGGCCCACACAAGACGTGAGGCTGAGAACCAGCTCCAGTGTTTGGAGGCCGGCCGTCCTTGTAGTGCAGTAAAAAAACACTCTTTCCAAAGGTATTCATGGGATGGCGCTGATTCCCGCGTGAACGAGGGAGATAAAAGTGAGCTTTTAAATATCTGTGGGAACTCCAGTACTTAAAAATTAGTCACAAAAAATAATAAAGGGATCTAGTATATATTGGAGTGATGGAATCCCAGGGACCGAGATATAAGGAATCATAAATGGAGTACAGACATCCTGCCCGGGAGAGTGTGTTGATGAGAAGAGTAATAACAAGTAACATTTATGGAGTGACTGTTAAATACCAGGTGCTTCGTGCCTCAGACACAATGCCTCACTTCACACATGGCAACTCTGTGATGTAGGTTCTGTTATTATCCTGACTCAGAGGCCCTCTTCCTCACCCAGTCATCCCCCTTTCCTGCACTCATCACCAGTACACAACACGTTTTTTTAAAGCGCTATTTTTAAAATTTGTCTCACTCCTTCTGATAGATTGCAGTCTCCTTAAGAGCAGGAAGTTTTGTTTGTTGCCACATCCCCAGCACTTGGAAGACATAGTAGTAGCTCAATAAACACCGGTGAACGAATGAATGCCAGAAAACGAGGTGCGGAATTGTTGCTGACTCACCCCAAACCAAATAGCCAGGCACCGTCAGGACCAAGGGGCAGCACGGCGGACTCCGACTCCGGGGGAGCCTGCGTGCTCGGAGGGGGGCGAAGTAGAGGTGCGGGTGGAGGGACTGGAGCGCCAGCCTGCGGAGATAGGCTTGAGACGCCATCGGTTCATTACCTTATTCATCCGCCTCTCAGTAACAATTTATGGCGCACCTACTGCGCACCAGGCCCTGGGGGAGCAAGAGTGGACAAGGCAGAAAGGGTCTCACAGTCAGAGGGGAGGAGACGGGGAGAAAGAAGAAAGGGAACGAGCGAACACACAGAGTAATTTCAAGGATGGGAACAGAACAGCGGTATGTGATATGTGCACACATCTGGCCTCCATGACAGGATGCACGAGCAGAATCCTACAGCCTGAAGCCCCAGAAGAGGACAAGGCTCAGAACAGGGAGACAGGAAGGCAGAGTCGGTGGGAGAGCTACGGATGGGGGTTGGAGAGTGGAAAGAAGCCCACAGGAAGGCAGAGTCGGTGGGAGAGCTCTGGATGGGGGTTGGAGAGTGGAAAGGAACCCAGGACGATGACCGTTCTGCACAGGAGGCTGACGGTACACAGCCGAGGGGACTGCCAGGGCCACCTCTGGGGCAATGTCTGGAGGACCAGAGCCGAGTGGCTGAAGGAACTGTCTAGAAAACCACATCTGCTCTTCAACCAGAACTTCAAGCCAGGCCAGGGCCATCTCTGGGGCAATGTCTGGAGGACCAGAGCCGAGTGGCTGAAGGGACTGTCTAGAAAACCACATCTGCTCTTAGACCAAAACTTCAAGCCAGGAAAGACCCTGCTTCAGGTTACCCACAGAGGGATAGAAACAGAGGGTGGGCAGGGGAAAGGGACTCCATATTACAGGATGATTTTGTCAGCTTGAGCCTGAAAGTGCCTATAATGAATTGTGACATGTCCCCACAGTTCATAAAGGCACTCTCTGGTAGAGCTGAGACGCCGCTGGAAGTGACAGTGGCCTTAAAAAAAAAAGTACTGTTGTTCAGTCATGTCTGACTCTCTGCGACCCCATGGACTGTACCCCGCCAGGCATGGAATTCCTCTGTACACGGAATTCTCCAGGCAAAAATACTGAAGTGCCTTCCATGCCCTCCTCCATGGGTTCTTCCCAACATAGGTTAACATCTAACACAAATGAGACTTAATCTGGGCTGTGGACTGGACCAGTGATCCCCAAATCTTATGGAGTGAACACAAGATCCACTTGAAATGTTTGTAAAACATGCAGATGACTGGCCCCAACCCTTGTTGTTCAGTAGCTGAGTTGGGGACTCTTTGAACCCCATGGACTGCAGTCAGGCTTCCCTGTCTTTCACCATCTTCCGGAGTTTACTCAAACTCATATCTGTTGAGTCAGTGATGCCATCCAACCATCTCATCCTCTTTTGCCCCCTTCTCCTCCTGTTCTCAATTTTCCCCAACATCAGGGCCTTTTTCAGTGAGTTGGTTCTTTGCACCAGGGGGCCAAAGAACTGGAGCTTTGACTTCAGCATCAGTCCTTTGACCCTCACAGTGACAAACTGCTGTTCGGCATGTCCAGCGAAGGACTGGAATATGTGTCTGACACGCAGGTGATCTCTGGACAGGCCACATCTTGGGAAACATGGGGCAGGATCCACTAATGGGCTTCAGGAAGTCCATGAATCCCCAGGAAGGGAGTGAAACATGTGCGTGTGTTAGTCGTTCAGTCATCTCTGACTTTGCAAATGTATATTGCATAACAAATGCATATTTCTTTTTCCGGGGAGAGTCCTTATCACTACAAGACCCAAAAACTTAAGGACCACCAGGTGAGTTCCGCCCTTTATCTCAGAGAGCAGGAAGCACAGAGTCCCAGGAATATGTGACTCGCCTGATCCTCAAAGCTGACAGAGGGCGGGGCTGGGCTGTCATCCCGATTTTCTCTTTCCAAGCCCCCTGTTCTCCTCCCCGGACTCTGCTGACTGTAAGGGTTGGGGGAGAAGGAGGAAGGGGATCTAAGCACATGGAGGCGAAGTCATCAAAGGGTCGCTCACCTCCTTTGTGGCCACAGGTGGGATAGATCTGCAGAGCGGAGAGTTAGACCCAGTCACTCACCTGCACTACCACCCCATATTCTGACCCCTGTGGAATTCATCCCCAGTAGGACCTAAGGCCATGACAGAGGGCACCCACGCTTGGTTGTTGGATACCTGGTGGTGATGGAGGGATGTTCTTCTTCTTTTTTTAAATCTCCTTCTGCTTTATTCATTTATTTAATTTAATTTGGCTGTGCTAGGTTTTCGTGGTGGTATTGCAGGCTTCTCTAGCCATCCCGCAGGCTTCATTGCCCCGCAGCATATGGGATCTTAGTTCTCCAACCGGAGCTCAAACCTGCATCTTCTGCATTGGAAGGTGGATTCTTTAGCCCTGGACCACCAGGGAAGTCCTGTGATGGTCTTATACAAAGACCTGCCTCCCTACCCCTGAGCAGGTGGGTGATTCCGGGCCTCCCTGTCTGCACGCAGTTTCCCATCCATCTATTTCTTAGGCCAGTCTGAATATCCACCCTTTCTAGTATGCGCAGGCCATGCTTCCTCTTCGATACTTCTCCCAGTCTGGATCCCATGTCATTAACACCAGCTGGCTCCTCAATTTTGACGTGTGTTCTGCCCTCTAGATCTGGTCCAAATCCTTTAAACCCTGGCCTCAGCCTGAGCTTCTAGATTCATCAGCTGGGTTCACCTTTCTCTCTTTTTTTTTAAATTATTTATTTGGCTGCACCAGGTCTTAGCTGCAACACAAAGCATCATTGGTTGCAGCATGTGGGATCCAGTTCCTTGACCAGGGATTGAACCCAGGCCCCCTACATTGGGAACATGGAGTCTTAGCCACTGGACCCCCAGGGAAGTTCCTCGCTTTCCTCTTGTGAACTAACAACCCTTCATCTTGGCCTTTGGCTTCTATTTTGTATTCCCTATTTTGCCCTGGTGATGGAGTCCATTCAGTCCTGGCCCCACTTAGCCAATGAGTCCTCCCCTTACCCACCTGGCCAGAGCCACCTGCTATTCAAGGGTAGACCTATTCAGAATCCAATCCCTGCTTCTGTAAAATAATCAGACCAGAAAGTTAGTCTAACGTGCTTTCAGGCCTGCAAAAGCTCATCTTGGGATCTGGCTGGCAGACCACCACTTGCCCTGTGCCCTCTCTCAGTAATCCCAGACTCTCCCAATCTTGCTTCCCCACTCCGCTTGCCAAGCCCCTTTCTCTTCTGTTCCTTTGTTTTTCTTTCTTCTTTTTTTCATTCTGTTTCCAGGCTCTAGGTCTCCCTTGGCCCACGCTGGCCTCGCTCTGCCTGAGAGCGATACTGGGGAATAAAGGCGTCTGCGCCCTTTGTGTTGACGAATGCCACCTTTGTGTGGGTGCCAGATTTGTTTTAGAGGCAGATGTCCGGGAAGGCGGGACAGCAGGCGCGGTCCTGCCAGGACACCAGAGGCAGAGGAAAGAAGGCGGCCCTGTCCTTTTCCCAGCGGCCTCCTTAAGTCTGTGAGTGATGGCTCCCACACCCTTGGGCAGACAGGGACGCGAGCTTCCAGCTCCGGAGACCGCTTCAGGTCTCAGACTAAGTCAGCGCGGAGGTGGAAGCACGGAGCGCTCAGCCTGGAAGCCGTCCAGGGGCTGCGCGGAGCAGACGGGCAGCCTCCGCCAGCGCAGCTAAACGGCGGGCGCTGGGCACCTACGGGGAAGTTGAACTAGCCTTTCCTGTGGGTTTTTTTTAACCCTGTGAAGGAGTTACACAGTGAATTCCTTGTGGAGGATGAATCATCTCTCTCGCCTGTAACAGAGCCTGTTTCTCAGCTCCTGCCCCTGGCTTCGTTCGTCCCCAGGATTTCATCCGGAGGGCGGGACATTCTCTCCCTCCCACCACCCCCAACCGGAGCCTGCCGTCGGGACCAATGAAACCCAAGTACCTCATCCACCGGTGGTGACTAAGAATCGGAGTATTTAAGAGTTTGCAGGAATGGGCTGAGAGCTGTGTTTGCTTTCTCCCGCAGACGGGGCACGCTCTCATCGGATCAGGGCCATCACTGAGCCAAGCCGCGGAGTAAAGCGGAGGGAAAAGAAAGTCCAGCGCCATGTGCTACGGGAGATGCGCGCGATGCATCGGACATTCGCTGGCGTGGCTCGCCACCCTCTGCATTGTTGCGAATGTTTTGCTTTACTTTCCTAATGGGGAAACCAAGTATGCTTCTGAGAACCATCTCAGCCGCTTCGTGTGGTTCTTCTCCGGTATCCTGGGAGGGGGCTTGCTGGTAAGTCGTTCAGAAATCATTAAAGCCTTGAAAATAAATTCTTTCCTGTTAGATGAGATGTTTTCATGGAAAGTTTTCTATCAGGCATGTTTCCAAATCCAGGATTTTTGTTCATTCTTATTTTGAAAACTTACCAAGGAATGTTGAGATAGGTATAGGGTATTCATTTTACAAGAATTTGGTTTACAAAATCCCCATTTCAACTACCTTTTTGCTAAATTCTCTTACTTTACAGCTAGGAACAGAGACTAGCTTTTCAAACAGATTTGAGAACCTCTAGAGTTTCTAGTCCTGGAGTCGGTACTCATTTCACATCCGCTCTGGGAAACGGGGAGGAGTCCGATAGTTCTCTGTCTAAATCAACAGAGTTTTGGATACAAATTCTTTGCTGTTTGTTCTCAAACATCTGTGACAGGGAAAAATTATGAATTGTGAGAGCGCTGCTATTTAGAAAGGACTATAAATTTTCTCCTTTATGTAAGCCTGGGGTGTGGCGTTTAGGGAAAATCCTTCAGTTAGCAGCAAATCACGGTCTGAAGCTAATAGTGGAATGTGTTGTTTTTTCCAAGGTTTGTTTTTAAGTGAAGTGAGAGGAATTTGCCTGCCAACCTGGGAACTGAAAGTATTAGCTTCGACCATAGCCTGGAAAGAATGTGGACAAACTTGGGTTTGCCACTTTGAAAAATACTGGGATTGTGAATTTTGAAGAGAAGTTCTATGGAACTGCTAATACCATACAGAATATTTTTCTTAGTCAAGTAAATGATATTTAAACTTAATACACTAACTCTGGTATGGCAAATCTGCTTTGAATTTAAGCATTACTATCATGCTAACATAATCACTTGTTTTTCTTTCTCCCACAAGTTCTCAGGTCAGTTTTTGTCTTGTTTTGTTTCATTGAGGTATAGTTAATTTCCTAATCATTTGTCTTCAATACAATACCTTGCCTGTTTAAACTTCTTTTGATCTTGAACTCAAAGGATTTCAAACTCATTTTAAGAGCTTTATTGTGACGTTACAGTCATGCCATGGTGTCTTCAATGAAGCAGTGCACCTGTACTGAGTTTTCCTGTCTTGTTTATAAAAAAATTTTAATTATTCTCTCAAAGTTTTGTTGTTATCTTCCATGCTTTGCAAGGGCAAACAAACCAACCAACAAACAGATTTAAAGACAGGGTTTAATATTTTCCAAACAGTTTGCATCTGGAACTATGTTATGAACTCTTATGGAATTAACACATTTATGGGTTATTATTTTACCCCTCCCACGCTACATCCTGACCCTGCCTAATGGGACACACTACATAAAAACAATCAGGTATTACCCTTTGAAGGTTTTTCTCTTCTCCTCAGAGTTTATGTTCTCTGAGATATTTGCTCAGCCTAACCCAAAGACTTTCAGCAATATCGGAAAGAAAAATGTTTTACCAAAAGATGCTCAGATTGACTGACCCTTATGGACCCGGGGAAAGTCAATGATCTCAATTTGCGTGCTTTCTAACCAGATGTTCGTGCCGGCATCCACCTTCATCGGGCTGGACCAGGAAGACTGCTGCGGTTGCTGTGGCCATGAAAACTGTGGCAAAAGATGCGCAGTAGGTCGTCCCGCTCTGGGGGGGAAGTGGTCCCTGAGGCGGAGCTGTGAGTTCTGTGCCTCACTTCTGGTGGTCCTCCCTTCCCTAGATGCTGTCTTCTATACTGGCCGCGCTCCTTGGGATTGCAGGCTCTGCCTACTGTGTCATTGTGGCTGCGTTGGCCTTAGAGGAAGGACCGAGATGCACGGATGCCAGTGGCCAGTGGAACTACACCTTTGCCCACACAGAGGGAGAGTAAGTGATTGTACCCTAGAAGGCTGCACATTCTTATCCACCACGTGCATACAGTGGTAAACCCGTCAGACTAAAAAGGCATCAACCATTCATTCACCCATCCTCTTGCCAGGTTTGTTCTCACTGACTTGGGGACAGTTCAGGCAGTGGGTATCAGAGGATGGATTCCCAGTCTCTGGCCCAGAGAAGCTTTTTAATGGATTCACTGGCTCAGTCCTCTTGATGACACGTAAGGGGACTTCCACTATTGCTCCCATTTTACAGAGTAGTTTTATGGAGGCCCAGGGAGATCAAGTAACTTATCCAAAGTGACAGTGGTAAGATGTGACAGTCAGGATTTGAACCCAGGCAACCTAGCTATAGAGTCTGTGCTTGTATAGTGTGTATACTATACCAGAGCAATTGTGTGATTCTTCTATTTTATAAGAAAATCTTATGGAATCCTATATAGCACCAGTGAAAACCATATGCATTTAACCAAAGCCCAGGGTCAATCATACTACCAACACGCACACACATATAATATAGCAATTATGTATCATACACCCTTTATTCAAAGTGGTCAGGCTGTATAAGACAGATCTTATTCATGACTGTTTTTTTTTTATTCATGACTTTAACACTGGGAAAATCCAAGTGGCTCCACTGTTTAATGCTGATACTGTATTTCTTATCTATTATTGAGAAAAGGACAGAAGTAGCTGATGGAAACTGATGTACATAATGATAAATGAATGACATACTGAATTTTGAAAGGTTTACTCATGAGATTCATGAGTGAAAATAATCTGAATCATGAATTTGAATTGCCTGTATACTTTCAAGAATGTTTTGTCTCTCATGAATTTTTTGGCATGGAGGGATATCTTAAGATCATGAATATGGATTCAGTTCAGTTCAATTCAGTCGCTCAGTCGTGTCTGACTCTTTGCGACTCCATGAACCACAGCACGCCAGGCCTCCCTGTCCATCACCAACACCCGGAGTCCACCCAAACCCATGTCCATTGAGTCGGTGATGCCATCCAACCATCTCATCCTCTGTCGTCCTGTTCTCCTTCTGCCCTCAATATTTCCCAGCATCAGGGTCTTTTCCACTGAGTCAGTTCTTTGCATCAGGTGGCCAAAGTATTGGAGTTTCAGCTTCAGCATCAGTCCTTCCAGTGAATATTCAGGACTGATTTCCTTTAGGATGGACTGGTTGGATCTCCTTGCAATCCAAGGGACTCTCAAGAGTCTTCTCCAACACCACAGCTCAAAAGCATCAATTCTTCAGCCCTCAGCTTTCTTCACAGTCCAATTCTCACATCCATACATGACCACTGGAAAAACCATAGCCTTGACTAGATGGACCTTTGTTGACAAACTAATGTCTCTGCTTTTCAATATGCTGTCTAGGTTGGTCATAACTTTCCTTCCAAAGAGTAAGCATCTTTTAATTTCATGGCTGCAGTCACCATCTAGTGATTTTGGAGCCCCCCCAAAATAAAGTCAGTCACTATTTCCACTGTTTCCCCATCTATTTCCCATGAGGTGATGGGACTGGATGCCATGATCTTAGTTTTCTGAATGTTGAGCTTTAAGCCAACTTTTTCACTCTCCTCTTTCACTTTCATCAAGAGGCTCTTTAGTTCTTCTTCAGTTTCTGCCATAAGGGTGGTGTCATCTGCATATCTGAGGTTATTGATATTTCTCCCGGCAATCTTGACTCCAGCTTGGGCTTCCTCCAGCCCAGTGTTTCTCATGATGTACTCTGCATAGAAGTTAAATAAGCAGGGTGACAACATACATCCTTGACGTACTCCTTTCCCTATTTGGAACCAGTCTGTTGTTCCATGTCCAGTTCTGACTGTTGCTTCCTGACCTGCATACAAGTTTCTCAAGAGGCAGGTCAGGTGGTCTGGTACTCCCATCTCCTTAAGAATTTTCCACAGTTTATGTATCGAATATGTATTAAATAGATATCATATCTATCGAATATGGATTGGATAGATCCTGAGTTCAATTCCGGCTCTGTATTTACTGTCTCAGTAATTAGAAAAAGGTGAACTGAGCTCTCTGCATCTCAGTTATTTTATCTGTAAAATAAAACCAATGGCAGTTGTCAGAAAGATTAGTACGTTACTATATGTAAAATATTTGTCACAAAAGCTGACAGAATGAGCACTGCCATCTTATTACAGCTTGAAACATGTACAGCCCAACGGTAGGAAAACAGTGTTCACTGGAATTTGAAATTTTGGTGTTCAAAATTGTTATTGATCATGATTTTCAGACCATACTTTTCATGCTTTGTTCTGAATATGCTGAATGTACTGGTAGAAACTGGTTACTCCTGTATTCAAAACTGGTTACTCCTATATTCAAAAACACACAAACCCACGGCTAAAAACATTATGATTCATCCAAGGAGAGGTGATTCATCAGCTATAAACTTATAGGAAAGTTTATAGCTGATTATTCTATCTCCCCTCTCATGGATCTAATCAACTTCTGCAAGAAACCTCCAGTTTCTATGTCATTCCTCATTTCAACTTCTTTAGAGATTTCAATATGGGAAATAAAAAGCCAGTGGTTAGTTGCTTAATAGCCAAGTGGAGCCAAAGAATTTTTTTCTATTGTGTCCTGAAATTATGGATTTTTGTTAAATATAGGGTCAGAAGAACAGAATTTTTTCATAATCAATCATAATTCCATCAATCAAATTGAATTTTTGATTGGCTCCATTAACCACTCCAAAATAAGGTCTGTAATCCTCAGTCCCTTTGTTTTGTTGTGGTAAGAAGACATTACAAGCAAAGAATTATTCTAGATCTCTCAATGGAGTTAAGTCAATCCTAGATTTTCCCATATGATTGAATCCTATTTTATTAAGAAAATGTATATATTCAGATAACGACTCCAGTTTGGTTTGCTGAGGCTTCCCTGGTGGCTCAGTGATAAAGAATCTGCCTACAATGCATGAGATGCGGGTTCGATCCCCTGGAGAAGAAAATGGCCACCCACTCCAGTATTCTTGCCCGGAGAATCCCATGGACAGAGGAGCCTGGCAGGCTACAGTCCCTGGGGTTGAAAAAGAGTTGGACACGACTGAGCAGCTAAACAACAGCAGGTGGTCAGCTAACATTTCACAAAATGACTTCAGATTGCTCTCTGTCACTGAGTTCCTTTTCCAGCGTGTTGAATTCTTACTATGGGCCAGATAGTGGTCTAGGGGTTGAATAGACAATGATGAATAGCTCTAGTTCCTACCTTCATGGAGCTCAGACTTGTGGATTAGATACATAAGCAACTCTTCTCCCTTGCCTAAGTTTCCTGTCCTTCCTCTGTGACCCTTTGACACTTAATATACCTGATCAGGGTCCTGGTTGCATTGAGATTGCCTATCATTTCTTCTCTTAAGAAATGCTTTTCCAGGACAGAGTTCAGGCTCTTGTATCCTTAGACTTGTCTAGATGTCTAACTCACACTGAGTGTTCAACAATCTTTGCTGAATTTTCTATCTACTATTGCAACAAGATCTGGGCTAAATTCCTTATTTAAATTCCTTATTTTCCTGTGGAAAGACTTGGATTGGAAGCATCTGATATAAGGCGTTGAATTAATCTTTTTTTTTTCTAAATGAAAAAACATGGCATGAAAAGTATGTTTATGAGACATCCCACTGGATGTGGCTGTGTGTCAGAAGTTTCTCTTTTTATCCACAGTTACCTTCTGGATAGCTCCACATGGTCCAGATGTGTCGAACCCAAGCATATAGTGGAATGGAATGTTTCTCTGTTTTCGATCCTCTTGGCACTTGGTGGGATTGAATTCATCTTGTGTCTCATTCAAGTAATAAATGGAATGCTTGGAGGTGTCTGCGGTTATTGTTCCTCTCGCCAACAGGTAAGAACCTGTGTAAAAATGCACCATTATTTTCATCCTAGAGAAAAGAAGACAAAAATTAAACCCTGCTCAACCTACTAGTGTTTATTCCATTTTTGTGGAAAAGCATTTACAGCAGTTGGGTTTTTTTAACTTTTTATTTTATCCTGGGGTAGAGCCAGTGAACAGTGTTGGGATGATTCAGGTTGACAGCAAAGGGACTCAGTCGCACATATACGTGTATCTATTCTCCCCAGACGCCCCTCCCACCCAGGTTGCCCTGTAACACTGAGGCGGAGTTCCTTGTGCTATCCAGGAGGGCCTTGTTGGTTATCCATTGTAAACATAACAGTGTGTACGCAGTGATCCCACACTCCCTAACTATCCCTTCCCCCGTTGGGCCCTGCTCTCAGGGCTAAGCTTCCTTGAGAGTCACAGTTCCTGGGTTATCTTGGCTCTTTGCAGTTGGCTCTGTGCAAATAAGACAATGTCGCCCATAGACACGGTGCTTCTTCAGGATTTAACCCATTACCCCTTTCACCACTCCTGCTCTGGCTGCACAGACACAAAAGAAATGTCCTCTCTCTGCCTGCTCTCACATTCCCAACTAGTGTACACAAGTAACTGCTATCACCCGTTGCCCTAGGCATCGCGTTAAACCCCTATTCCAGAAGAGCGTGTGATGCAGAGATTAAGTAATGTTTCTAAAATCACCTAGTCAGGAAGCAACAGGCTTCAAATGCCACGGCTCCTGCTCTTAACCTGTATGCAGGACTTGCTGTTCTGTTGGGTTTTCTACAGTTTCTTCCTAATAAGGAGTCACAAAAATGCCACAATAGCTAAGGATAGAGAATCACTAGTAGCCTTTGAATAGAGCTTATTAAAAAACCTTTCACTGTCAAAGAAAACCAGGAAGCGCTTGTTCCCTGGGGATGTGATTTGGAAAAGAAATATGCATTTGTTAGTAGTGGGGAAAGTTCTTATTTCTATATTTTCCTAAAAAAACATATATTACCGAACTGATGGAAGTCCAGCTTTGGTTGAATTTGGGGGAAGGGGAGGGTTGTTTTATGTCTTGTTCTGTAAAGCAGGATTAGGAAAACTGAAACTTACTTAATTTGTATTTTCCTAACCATTCACTTCTCTGGTTCAGGGTTTCCTAACTTTCTTTGAAAGTAAGACAAAACCTAGTGAAAAATGAAAACCCCATGGCTATCATGAAAAGCTTTGCTGTAAATAGATGGAAACTTTCTATAATTTTTGAGGGGAAGTTAAAATAAAAATCTAGATGTCCTTATCAGGCAAATACAGCAAGATTAATAATTGCTTTGGGAGCCTGCCAAATTTCCGAGAAAACAGCAGAGTGGAAAACTTTCAATATGGAATTGTTTCCAGGCAATACGGTTGGGCAGAGGCAAAGAAGGCTCTTGGGATTACTATAATATAACCTGTCTTTAGCCTTGAGTTTCCTATAAGGTGACAGTTTAAATTGGGTGAGACCCCGTTGTGCTTCAGCGCTGGTGCATTTTGGGGACAGGTATCCACCTGCCAGAGCAGGGCCCCTGGCTCAGGAAGACCCCCTGGAGACATAAATGGTAACCCACTCTCCTATTTTTGCCTGGAGAATCCCATGGACAGAGGAGCCTGGTGGGCTACAGTCCCTGGGGTCACGAAGAGTCAAACACGACTTAGTGATTAAACAACAATATAATGTGTCAGTGACTAAAATTGCTGCAGTGGTTTGGCAGAATGACTCTCGTTTCCGGGTTAAGGGAGCCGAGAGTCTTACTGGGTTTCCCAGTCACTATAGGGGTGGCTTCTTCCCAGACACTGCAGGTCAGATCTGTTATATTTGTTTGCAAGACAAAAGACAGTTTCAAAGAGCAAGGCTTTTAGTATAGATTGGTCAACTCTGTATGTAGCATTTAATTCAAAAGTTGCCCACATTGAGTTGGCACCAACGTAAAAGTCCCATGACATTATCTCTTAAATCCTTGAGGTTAAAAACCCACCCTGAGCATATAAAAGCCAGCCAGGCCTTGTAAGCTGCACTTTCCAAGGCCTCTTTCTTCAGCTTTTACTTGGGAAGGACAGTGGTCCGGTTTGTTTAGGAAACTTTTTGTGAGCATTGTCTAAGCTCTCATTGTTGTTGGCCCAACCCCTGCTGAAGCTGAGATTGGTCGGCTTTACGTTTGCTTAAAATAGATTTAAAGCACCAAAATGTCATCATTGTTTGTTTAGCCTGATCAGAACCTGATACTTATTTCATTTTCTTTACAGCAATATGACTGCTAGAAGAATTACCCCAAGACAAACCTGAAATCTCCCTCAATGTCACTGTAATTTATATATTTTACTTGTATTAATTTGTAAAACTTTGTACTAGTGTATCATACACCACATGTTCTACTTTTATAAGTGTGTATAAAGACTGGCATCTTCTCTGGATATTGGTGTTTGAACTTAGCAGAGAAATTCTTTTTTATTTTTTTAAGAGTAAGAAAATAAACCACACTCTGGAATTAATTTAACAGACTGACAGTTCTCAGCCCACCTGAGATAAACTCTGGCTGAAATCATGTTTTTGAGAAACATTACAAGGATAAATATCACATTCCAGTTACTAGTCTATATATTTATATGTGCATGCATTTATTAAATGAAAGATTTCTAGTTGCTTTTTTTAAAGACCATTACAGAGAAAATCCAACAACCTGAAAAGATATATTTTTTCACTGTTTATATGGTGTTTCCCATTTGTATGCAAACCTCTAACAAGGGGCCTTTTGAACTGATTCATGTTATGAAAGAGACATGTAATTCCCTAGGTTGGGGGTTGGGAGGTAGATTGAGAATACTTGAATCTAAATAAATGAATGAGTCAGAATAGGCAAGACAGTGAGTTATTACAAGGACTACCAAATCCTGAATTTTTCTGACACTTGGAAAACTTACTGGCCTTCAAAGACAAGACGGAGGATCATGGATGTAAAAAGAGGAAGGCCTGGACAAGAAGAAAGATGGGAAATGGAATAAAGCAGTTGATCACCATGGGAATATGGGGAACGAGGGGCGGGAGGACCATGAGCAAATACCCGCCAAATTTACTTGTTTCATACAACAAATAAAGCCTTCACTACCGTTTTGTTGTTTGGTGTCATCGTCCTTTGTTTCATGTTCCTCCTTTTTCCTTCCTTTTTTATTCAGTCTGCAGACTGTACAGCCGCCATTGCTAGGGGCTTTGTGTCTTCTGGGTTCTTGATCCCACTTTCTCTTCTTCATCCTCTTTCTCCTTTTCTGTCTCCCTCTGCTCTCCATGCGTTTGGGCCATCCACCTCATCAGGCAACTTCACTTTGCATTGGGTGCTCCAGACAGCAGGCTCCTCCGGAAGGTAACAGACATTTTCTCTCTTGACATCTCGCATCTGTTGTATTGTTAGGTTCTTTCAAGTGACAGAGTCCCCTGCCCTACTGGGAATTGTATACAGAAACTGTCTGCATTTAGCGTTCACTGGCCTAGGCAACAGACAAACTAGTTAGTTAATAAAGAAGCCTCACTGACTGTTAGACGGCAGAGCGCCTCCTGAGACCAAGGTCTCCTGCCTGAAGGGTTTCAATCTTCCTTATGCCTTGGTCTTTCAGGCAGTCTGGTGAAGGTTATGGACTTCTTTGAAGAAGACTGTTTAAAATGCAAAAAACAAAGGCATAGGATGAGAAAGGAAACCCAGATATTGACTATTTTAACAAGACATTTTTTAAAATCATGAGATAGTTGTTTTGCAAGGCATCTCCATCACACCAGTACCTGTAGACAGGAAAGCAGTGATCAAGGGTGATCTAGCAGTGAGCTAAAGAGAGGGTGTCTGAGAACTACTGTGCTTCTTTTTATTTACTTATTTGGCTGCATGGGGTCTTCATTGTGGCATGTAGGATCTTTAGTACTGGCATGTAGGATTTTTAGTTGTGACATATAAACCCTTAGTTGAAGCATGTGGGATCTAGTTCCCTGACCAGGCAGCAAACCTGGGTCACCCTCACTGGGAGCATGGAGTCTTAGCCATGGAACGACCAGGGAAGTCGCAGAACTACTGTACGTTTGAAATACATTTCCAATTAAAATGATATTTTGAGATATATCCAAAGATTTTGAGGTGATACAAAAAGGTGTGTAATTTTGTATTGTTGTTCAAAATACAATCAGTATCCTGATTCTGCTGTGACTTCTTCCATGCAGTCACAGTAAAGGATATATTAATACAAGATTTTCATTAGAGGTTAATAAAAACAATGATAAAATTTCTTTCCATCCAAGTTTAACAACTTCCCTCGCCATAGTTAGCAGTCCCTGGGCCTCTTAGGAGTCCTTAGGCCTTAGATTACCCAGGTGGGGCTAGCAGTAAAGAACCCGCCTCCCAGTGCGGGAGACATAAGAGACACAGGTTTGATCACTGGGTTGGGAAGATTCCCCGGGAGGAGAGCAAGGCAACCCACTCCGGTATTCTTGCCTGGAGATTCCCCTGGACAGAGGAAACTGACAGGTTACAGCGCATAGGGTCACAAAGAGTTGGACACGATTGAAGCAACTTATCATGCACAGACATAAATAAGAACTCCTGCAATAGAAAGAAAAAAGCAAATATCATATATTAACGTATGTATATGGAATCTTAAGAAATGATAAGATGATCCTATTTGCAATACAGGAACAGAGATACAGACATAGAGGATGAATGTGTGAACACAGAGGGGGGAGGAGAGAGTAGGACAAAGTAAGAAAGTAACATTGCCATATATACACTACCATGTGCAAAATAGATTTATAAAGCAACTATACTCCCATTGAAAAAGATAAATACTTTAAAAAAAGAACCCCTGCAACAGAGGATCCAAAAAAGAGGCATAATGATCCCCTGAGTAAGCACTTTTTCCCCCTAAGTCTATCCTCAAAGGAAATGGCAATAATGGTTATTAACCATGACAGTAATGATAGCAACTCAACTGAGTTCCTTCAACGTGTTCATTACTCTCTTA